CTGGTGTTCAAGGAGTAGATAAAGTAACGCAGGGTAAGGATTTCAAAGATTTATAGTTAAGAAGGTTGAAGGGAATATTACCATAAGCGACACATAATAGCCGAACATAAGGCTGCGTATGGAAACCTAATTATAAATCTTATTAAACCATTCATAAGACTTAATTGTCCCCCATTAAAAATCTGTACCAATACAACCCATGAAGGGTCTTGGGTTCAGTACTATTTAGGGAAAGCACTGTTTCTTGATCTACGGTTGTGCAAGGATGTGATTTGACCGAGATCACGCTCAACCGCCAGGTTTTTTCCCTTTTAATTATTTTAATTAAGCGTAACCAACTTTATAGGGGCTGGGTGTGCCCCAGGAGGGTCTATCTACCCAGGGTCGCCCCACAGCCAACGAAACAGAATAAATATTTTTTCGGCCATGAGCCAGGATTCGAACCTGGGACCTTAGCATTGGAAGCTCAGTATTCTACCACTGAGTTACACCACTCTCTAATTCTCTTCCATTACTATAAATAAATATTATATTGATTTATGTACATATATACATATATAATCTTATATTTACATAAATTACATATTTATATTTTCATTGTGTGTAAGCTGGGAAAATATTTTTGGGGGAATAACAGCTATATCTTACGTCAAAAGAAAATGTTGGTTTTTCGAACTTTAGCTGGATTTTTTTTTTTTAATAACTATCAGTTTTGAAACAAAAGTCAAAATAGTCTTTTATTTTTATTTATAAAAAATATATGACAAGAATTTTTTAGAGAACTAACTCGAAGCTCTTGGCCTGTAGATAACTGGTCCATGCGGATCTTAAGGATTCAGAAATGCGAATCAAACTGACTCCTTTTTTACAGGCTAAGATAAGAAGAAGGAATGTAGCTGCTGAATAAAAACAAAACCAAGCCTCACACCGCTCACAAAAAAAAAAAAAAAAAAAAAAAAAAAAAACTATAACCGTTTAAATAATAATTTACAGACTGTATAAACAAATCTCGTTTAGTCACCAAATGTACTGATAAATAACGCATCGGTTTGCTAATACATTCTAAGTACTATACAAGTCTCCCACAGCTGCTGAAGATCGTATGCAAAATACATTGTAATTTAAATTTAATAATACAATTAGGAAACCAGGAAGAATTATTAAATGGATATAATTTTTGAAGTCAACTGTAAACTTACTCCATAAAATATTCATGTTGTCCCTCATCACAGCCCAATCTGGTCTGTACACAACTGCAATCGGGAGGTTAAGTCCCTCGTGGAGTACTACTGACGTCATTCACTTTCACGCGTCATTCAATCTTCAATCCGAAGTCAGACATTTAGATTTCCTCTTCTCAAATGGTGGTAGGAATGTCCTTAAATCACGCACTGTCTTAATAAAATTTGTACACGTTCTAATATACACACATTATAAAAAAAAAAAAATACGATATCTCATTAAAGATTATTACAGTTTATCCTAATAAACTTTTTATTTTATAATTTTAAACCGCTAAGCACTGGAGTCTGCATAACATTCCTTCGTGCGTTAGTTGAAACACGAAATAAACTTGGTTAAAAACTTGAAACTTGTGAAAAAAGTTATATTTTAACTACCAACAGAAAAATTAATAATTAAAAAAAAATAAAAAATGCGTATAAATATTTACGTAATATTTTCCAAAAAAACAAAATTAATTAGCACTGTGCATAAAAAATGTCTATAAAAAAAACAACGGAAAATAGTTCTTATATCTCATCTTCTTTCTTCTTCTTCATCGGGTTCTTTGCTAATTTTTCTTTCTTGTACCTAAGCAGGAAAATTTCATTTACTAACCTTCAGATTTTTTTTAACTTCATTTGTTTTTTTAATATCTAACATCATTGGAATATATAGGCATTATAATATTAGTAATGGTAAGATTTATATAAGTCGGAATAATATTAAATATAAAAATTGATGTAATTGTTTAGCTAATTATTCATTTTCATTATGAAGCTTAAAATGACTCGGACTACCCTGTTTTTTAATAATTACATATTATTATTATTTATTTATTTTATAATATACATATATTATTATCCATACCGACACGAAAGGATACAAATTTTTTATTCATAGTATGTTGTTACACCGGTAATAATTACGCTATTTATCAAATAAATGTTATTAACTGAATTGCCAAGTGTGAAGCTTTAATAATCTTTAATAATTTCCATATAACAGAATTTCGTTTGCTAATCGTTAAGAAATTTATACAATTATCAACTATTTAATTTCTATTAAATAACTATTTGTGATTTAGAAAATATAAAGAACGGGTAAGATGGTTTTGATTACTGATAAATTATCTAAAAATAAATATCATTTTGAATAAAATTACGCACGTTTTAATGCTATTAAAATTATAATAATAGAGGTAGATAATGGATTGGAACTGATAATTTTAGTCATGCTAAAATTTTGGTTCTATTCCTTTTACGACATCCTCGTAAACCGGCGGTTTCGTTGCATTAACTGTTTATAAAATTGTGAGGAATCATTTTTTTTTTTTCCTATTTGACACCTGTTGATGCAATGGACAAATTCCTTAGAAATAAACTCTCTCAAACAAAAAAGTTCACTTCACTTTATTTCTCGTATATCTATTTCCTTTTTTTACTGTTTTTAGTATTTTTTTTTAGTATTCCCTTTTTTTTTTTTTTAAACTTGAATGACGATTTTATTAAATATATTTCATTATATTATTATGTAAAATCAGTGAAATATTTATAAATCGAATTGCTCTTTATTTGATTTAACTTCAAAAAAATCAAAATAAATTTTTAATTGCAATTTATTTTACATTGAATGAGTAATATCCGATTGACAAGCCAACGTGAATGAAATAAATATTCAAAGCCGTTTTTGAAGTTATGTTATAAAAGGTATAATGATCATAAAACCATAAAAAAAAATAAATAAAATCTAAATATTGAGTTTGAATTAACACATGTTTCTTTTTATGCATCTAAAATAACAGGAACCTGATATTTTTTTGCGGTGAAAACTAGTTTATTTGTGGGTTTAAAATTTAAATTTATATTTTATAGATGTTTGTTTATTTAATTTATTACCACTTAACTCTTCCAAATATCAATTTTATTGCAAGCCGTTGATGTATCAACGTGCCATTGACCTCTTATTAGTTATACTACAATTTATAATATAATTTTCATTTTCTACGTGTTCTTGTACTCTTTTTTTTCAAAACTGGAAAAAGTATATATCATAGTACACAGTAAAAAAAAAAAAAAAAAAAAGAAAAATAAATTATAAAATGAGGATGCGCAACTGAGTCAAAATTAAGATATATATATTTTAGGAGGAGCTCCATCCAAGGTCAGAAATTACCCAAAAATATTTTAAATGTTTTAATAAAAAAAATATCTGGCACAGTCGCCGTTTTCCTACCTAGGCTCAGATCATTGTCGCATTGAATAATAATATTTATTAATAATAAGATAGAGATTTCCCAAGGCTAATTAAAAAAAATATATTAATCCTTACTCGATACGGCCAACTATACAGACTACTAAATAGAAAATATAAACTTTCAATTGAAAACAAATTACTGATCTACAAGACAATACTGAAATCTATTTGGACTTACGGACTAGAACTGTGGGGGACAGCAAAATTTTCTAACATCAAACGCATCCAATCCTTCCAGTCCAAAGTCCTTTGAACAATAGTCGATGTTCCTTTCTATGTAAGCAACAAAACCTTACATAATGACGTCAATACCTCATTTGTCCTAGACCTAATTTCAGAAAAAATCTCCAAATTTCACCAGAACCTTACGTATCATCCAAATCCTCTTGCATAATCCTTATCAAGCACCACCCATCCCTATAACCCTTCAAGAAGGTTAAAACGGCAGCGGTCCCACCACCTTAGTTTGTATATATTGGAGTTCTGGCAATGGTCAGATTCTCCATTCAAGACATGAGTATGTGTTTTTTGCTTATTTCCATATTTTTAATTTATGTTATTTTATTTATTGTATACTCTTTTTGATAATTATTTATTTGTTATTTTGCTTTCGCTGATTTAATACTTTTTTTTGTTACACGTAGTGCACGGGCGGATCTACGGGGGGGGGGGAGAGGGGGTTTTCGGGATGAAGGTAAAATATAACCATGTTTTCTGGAAAAATATATTAAAAAATATCTCTTACAGTATTATTGTTGGTGTAATTACATTTAAAAGGGCTTAAGGAATCACTTAAACACCATTTCATATACATAGTTAGTTTCCTTCTTTAGTTTCGTCATTTTTAAGAAAAAAAAAGCTTTCGGGCTGAAGCCCTCCCCCCCAAAATTAAATCCTGGATCCGCTAGTGACGTAGTGTGAATGTGATCTTCCCTCACTACATCCAATGTCCAAGTGACGGGATGTTGTAATATTCACTAAATAAATATTTAAAAAATCCTTAAATTGTCAGTATTTCATGTACAGTTATGAGAACAAGATCATTTTAGTATTATATTTTATCTATCTAATATCTCCTAGTTATTAGATAGTTAGCGGACATACCTTCATATATTGTTTTTTCGAGTTCCTTAATCCATACTTTCAGTTAGAGTGTATAATACATCGATGTGAATTATAATAATGAAATGTATGAAAGAAAAAAAGATGAAGCTGATTTTCAAATAATTTTAAATCTGAAAGCTCCAATATGGTTCAGTACAATAAAATGGTTAATTATAAATAAGGACTGCCCAATTGACACCCCGACTAGGATAAAATAAAATTTCTTTCTCCAACATTTAGAACAGAGGTACCAAAATCCCTATCCTATTAGATGAGGCATACAGATGGCAGAGAGGGAATAGGCACTCAGACAGACAGGTGCTATTTACGTGCTTTCGCACTTAGGCCAACTGTAGTAAAAAGGTTTGAAGAGTTATCTACTACCTGGGCTCTGATATCGGTAGGCTATTGGGCCGAGCTCAATGATGGCCCGGGCAAAAAGAGTCAGTTAGAGAGCTAATAGATTTGGAGGATGGTCTGTTTTGACCGGGAGCCGGATGATGGATGCCCCAGTCTTGCCAGGTACGGCATTTTTTCTTCTCTTCTAGCGGCTGGTTGACTATCCGTCCACTCATCTCCTCGACAGCCTTGACGTCTTCATTACCTAATTTGCCCACACCTTTAACAACCTCTGTCTTGATAGCTTTATGTTGCCACGTCATTATCCTTCGGAAGACCGAGCGGAAATCAGGTGGTTATACAGTGCGTTTCAAGTTGCAGTAAAAAAAAAAGTCTAATAATTCCTCAGATTAAATAAGGTTAAGGACTTTAATCATTTGGGATAACTTATTTTTTCTGTTATGCCAGCCGTGCAAGGAAGGATTGAGGTCTGGCGAACAGTGGGTGTGTCCCCTTTATGAAGGTGGTACTCCTAATTGGAGTGAAGGATAATAATGGGTTGAGCGTGATTACTGACCACATCATCTCCTTTCGTAATGGTGTATCAAAATACATAACTTCCTTATCCTGATTAGGAAGCAGAAATAAAGCTATAATACATAGAATATATTTTTATATCTTACAAACCTAACCCGTCACTATTCAATCTAGAATTAGATTATCCTATTCATTTATTTAGCATATTATAAATGTAAGGTTTGTTTGTAATATCATACATTCATGGTTTTATATGTTTCATCTTATCCGCAGAGGTGTTTTTATTGAATTTTTATCTGCTTTCCTTCTTTCTCAAGTCATGCTATTTTTTATTTTTTTATATGCTTAATGAACGGAGAAACATTGAAAAAAATATTTTAATCTTCTTATTTTTATTTTTATTTTTTTAGGAGGCCTACGTTTATATATGTTTTCAAAATTAAGGCAAAAAAACTTCCAATTTTCTTCATATCCCTTTATTCACATTTATCACCTCTAGCGTTTCGGGACAATTTTCCCATCATCAGAGCAATTCTTATATTCACTGACATATTTTTTATATTTTTATTATAAATATTTTTATATTATAATAATTTACAAAAATACTATAAATATTTTTTATATTTATTTTCTTATATTTTTTGCCTTAATTTTGAAAAAATATTTTAAGTATGATTGAAAAAATAATTTAAATATAAAATGGTATAGTTGACAAATATAACTTATATTTGATTAGTTTATTGTTTTGTTACATTCGAGAAATGTTGTCCTCGTTATCAGAAACATTATTTTCAGTTGCTGGTCCATCTATATCAAAATTATTGGTGAATTCCCCCCCTCCTTTTTTTTTATTATTTTACTAACATATTAATTTCTATTATTGCTTCTTTCACTATGCTTGAATGTTTAAATGTTCGCTATAATTTAATATTATACATTGTTTGTTTATTGTCTATGATTACACATATATTGAATATATGTTAAGTAAATTATACTAACTAGCATGGCTAGTAAAAATAAGACAAAAAAAAAAATTTAATAATTGCACAGAAAGACAATCAACTGAAAATACTAAATGTTTAAGGAAATAATACAATATGTGATGAGGAAAACATTTCCGGAAACAATAATCAAAAGAATTTATATATGTAAAACACTTTTTTTTAATATTATATAACAAGAAACTTCCCAACCAAAAAAAAAAAAAGAAAGAAATAAACTAAATAAAAAAATGACCAGAAAAACAGAAATAAAAATATTGAAGGAAGTCAGTAGACTGATTTTATATAATGTTTTTTTTTATTATTATTATTACTCATAAATCACTATTTATCATTAACTATTATTTGTAATAACTTATTTTATCTCCGATATTATAATTGTTTTAGCCTTGATGATGACCCACAAGCTTAGGTTGAAACGTTGGTAATAAAAATCTAAAACTGACTGAGTCTAGACTATCAATCATCCATAAACAAAAAAAAAATATCATATGTGAAAAATAGTCGGGACGCAATCATTTTAAGATTTGTATTGTTGTTTCCGACGTTTCAACCCAAGCATGTGGGTCATCATCAGGACATATTTTGCTGCAGGTGTTTAAGAACTTGGACACCTTCAGTACTTTATGATGACTCAAATGCTTGGATTGAAACGTCGGAAACAATAAAAATCTTAAAATGACAACGTCCTGACTATTTATCACCTATGATATGTAGAATAGTCGACTAAGTCGAACTAAATAAAAATAGTTCAAATAATGCAATCAGAATTCCGAAAAAAAATTAATACCAAAATAAAATATGTATAAAGTGTATCGATAAAGTTTTTTAAAAAAATAACGGACTGAAACAATTTACTGTTATACTGCCACAATTATAAAATAATAAAAAAATAAAGTATTAAAAAAAATGGAAATATACTAGAATAAATGTGACAAATAGTACAAATTTGATTCAGAATAAATAATCATCAATTTGTCCTTATTTCTAAAGCTCACTTCCTCCTCCTCTCTCTCCCCCCCCCCCCTCCCCATGGATTTTTTTATTGCTCTATATTTGAATCTCTGAGTGATCTGAGCTGAATTAATAATATTACAATATTAATAATCTAGGACTCCATCTTTACAAACGTCTAACTTGGTCCACATAGCAGACTGAAACGACAAGAAACAGCTAGACGTTTCCGATTACTTCAACACTTACTAGACAAACGCTCTAATCTTCCAATTAATTATAAAAGACTCAATTACATGACTATAATAAGGAATATTTGGACTTACGGAGTTGAGCTATGGGGCTCCACCAAACCTTCAAATTCCTCTCGCATCCAATCCTTACAATCCAAAATCCTTCGTAAAATCCTCAATGCTCCTTACTTTGTTACAAATAAAATTATCCATAATGACCTTAATGATCCTTATGTATCAGATTTGGCCCAATCCAGATATCTGTCCTTCCATAATAAACTTCATAACCATCCCAACCCTCTTGTCTCTAACCTTGCTTCCTATTCAATTCCTGATAACCCTCCGAGGCGTCTGAAAAGAAGATGGCCACGTGATCTTCTAATATAGACATATTATTAGAGTGCTACCAATGGGTAGTTTCTCAACATGTGTTTCATGTCATTATATCCATGTGCGAATTTACCAGATGTATTTTTTTGTATACAGTTGTAAATATCATATAAATAAATAAATATTAATAATATTTTGTATTTATTAATAATGGATTCTATTACCAATCATTATTGACATTCCTTCAAGGACCACATGGTAAATTAAAACTGACTAGTTTTAATAGTTTCGTAAGCTTTCAGTAACTGAATTTTTATAATTTTTTGCTGCTTAATTTCAACACAATTATACCACTAATTAAAGTTTTGTTACGGCACTGCCATAGTATTAATAAAACGAGTCCATCGCATTAACCATGTCATATTATCATGACGTGTTTCCCAATTGGCTTACCGTTCTCCAGTTCTCCAGCCTCAACACGCCAATCAGAGGAATGAGACTAAGAATGCAGACTTTCTTCACAACTATTTCCATCAGGTCGTTCAAAGGTTCCGAAACGACCATTTCTTCTAGTCGGATCTGGGATTGGCCTTCATGAAAGTTCGAAATAAAGAAGTAGATAGTGTTTAAGCTAAGAGACGAAAAGCGTAAACCCAGTTTCCAATTACTTAAGAACTTATTTTAAAAAAATAAAATAAAAATGTGTGTATTCTGAATATTGCTCGGATATGTCAGAAATGCTGTAATAAATATACCTGGCGTCCTTGATCCACTTTTTTAAAACTCAGTTTCGACGTGAGGAAATAAAAAAAAAGAATATTAATAGATAAATCTCTGTGTTACATAATTGGTAGCTAGTCATAATTTAAATTAGAAATAGATGGGGACGATAGAAACTGTTATTTTTAAAAGAGAGTATTATATATAACGCTATCATTTGGTGTTGTACTATTACATGTTAAATACGAACCATGTATGTATTGTACACACATACGGCTAAAGACCCCTTTCCAACAAATTATTTTTTATTTTTTTTTTAGAACTTGTTTATCCTCAAAGGACATTTATAATAGTGTTCAGATATCATATTCACATTCACACTCTATGTTTTTCAACTATAGTTTATTTTATTTGTCTAAGGAAATTCCTGAACAAATAAAACATTCACACTCTATGTAAAATAATGAATAAAAATAAATTAAACAGAAAAATAATATATATATATATATATATATATATATATATATATATATATATATATATATATATATATATATATATATATACAATAAATAAGAATAAAATAACTTAAAAATAAATAAAAAAACATACATGCCTATATACACTATAAAAAAATATTAAAACTCATCTAAAACATCGTGAATGGCTTCATTGTATCGTAAAGTACAACTTCTTTTTTTTTTTTTTTAACGAAAATTCCCGAGAGTTTATTTAATGAGGTACTAAAAACTTACGAATACCCATTTCCTTTTCACTTGATTCGTAAGATCATTTGATAAAGAAATCGAGAAAAAAAAAGGTGGCCTGCAAAAATATTGGGCCGTTCGGCATGACCTCCACCCCAACTCCTGTCAAAATAACATTGTTATACAAGCCTAAGGATTACATTTTTTTCTTTCTCGATTTTGTGATCTAATTACCTTACGATTCGAATGCAAAGCAAATATGTATTCGAGAGTTTTTAATGTCACGTTACATTAAATTTGATCTTTCTCCGGTTTAAAAACTCCCCATTTTCGTAAATAAAAAAGTTGATGTCACGATAAAATGAAGCCATTCACAAATTTTCATACTAGTGTTAATAATTTGATAAACAGGGGCCTGTACCGCCTTTACAAGACATACACGGTTCGTATTTAACATGAACAAGTATAACACATGATGACAGCGTTACGGAATACACTAGTTTTCTGAAGTACCAACAAGGAAAAACAATGACAATACCATGTTCTGTATTAAAACACAACATCATGACAAACTAATTTACAATTCCTGTATTTATGACAAACATTGGAACTGTTTCTACCTCTTTAGAGGTCAAATTAATCGCAATATTCCATATCATGTGAAAATTATCGTAAATATTTTTTATTTTGTTTTATTACCATATGCACTGTTTTCGAAACAATCGCTTATTCCCGAAGCTATAATAAAACTTTTTAGGAATTTATTTTTGTATTCAAGATACTTTTTTTTTTAGAATTGTACTTCAATAAACTTTATATAAAATCAATAGTTTGGTGTTTA